TTTTCAAACGTGAAAAATTGTTATTTTGAGGTTATTTCCTTTGAAAACTGTATTTTGTAATTAATTAATTTATTGATTTTAAAATTAGCAGACTTCAAAAGCTTGTGTCCTTGAGGCTTGAGTGGTTGGCTAATTGCTAATTAGAAAGACGAGTTTGTTTGCTTTTGTTTATCAATTAGCCAAACATATTGCCAAAAAGTCAAAAAAACGAAGGGCTGGAGTCAAGCTGGCCCCCGGATTCGTTTCAATGTTTTTTTTGTGTATGAAAATGAGCACAATTCGCATAAATACTGGCACAATTGAGCACAAAACGGGCACAATTGACTACAGTTGAGAAACAGTAGAAAACCAAATGTGGAGTGCCGAGCCGGTTTAATTTTTGCATTTCAATATCAAAATATAAGCGAAACGGGGTTGCAATAGTGTGCTTTATTTTTTACTGACCCTACCTAGGTACTTCTCAATTATTATTCATTAATTTAATAGGTACTAGAACGATTTAATATAGACATTCAAAGTGAGCTTATTTCACAAAGCCAAATAGTGATACCTAATTTAGATTCTCATAATCATATTCCAGAAAAACATTGCAAGTTTCCCATATTTTCCATGCGTTTTCATAGTAAACGCGCCAGTAAAGGAATTTATTTACATTTTACATATTTATTTATTCACTCTTCACAAACCCTAATTTTTATTAGTAATTACATGCAAAGGAAACTTACAACTAAGTAGATATTTGATTTATAAAAAAAAAGCAAAACAAATGCTTGACTAGGAAATACTAACTAGCAATACACACAAATAAAAGAGCGATGTCCTGATACAACAAATCCAGTATTATAAAACCAGAAAATGCTTGGGGTTTTCGCGAGTATTTTCAGCCACGAGTCTTATATGCTTACACACATTAAATGAAACTTTAAATTTACACTTATAACACTAGATAAATCCGAATTTACGATAAAATAGTTGTCAGCACAAACTAAACATCATTCGTATCAGCAGCCATCTTGAAAATCCGGCATGCGCGTGACGTCACAGCAATTGTGAACAAATTTAGCCGATTGAGCAATCCTGTAGAGTTTACGATTCTTGGATTTTACCTTTGTTCATCTTTGACATTGACAAAAACTGTCTGACCTAAGTTTTTCAGAACAGACTTTTTGTAGTTAAGCCTGACTCACACTAGGCAAATTTGGAAAAAATATATTGCCTGTACCAGTTTTATGTTTGGCCAAGTGTACATGATACTGATATTACCACACGAAACGGAATGACCATTAAATACGTTTGTACTTTCGTATTCTCTACGAGAGCTCCGAGCACCCATGAGAGGTTGCTCATGGAAGCACCTGCCCCAATGCCCCCTTGTAGTTGGGGCCAGTGGTCTAGGGCCTGTTATTGCGACTTATTGGAATCTTTAAAAAAGTAGAACAGTGCAATTATAGGCTATAAGCTGACTAAACCGGGCTTAAATCACTTACCTAGCTAACCCAGCTTATCAGCCACTGTAAAGTATATATCAGAAACACCGATTCACGGATTCACAAGAAAAATATTTTGTCAAACTCCCAAATTAATCTGTTATATTGCTCATGCTAATTTAATAGCTTTGGTATACTATATCACTTCTGCCATTGCAATTTGCACTGACCTTTGGGTGGCACAATTGCACACAGCCCGTTAGTTGGTGGATCGGAGAATCGAATGGGGTCGATCGGGATCGCCGCGCATTACCGCTCAAATTTAGTAGGCAATAACGTAATAACATAAAATTATAATAGGTAACGTAACCTTCATAAAATACCAAATTATTAAAGTTTTTTCTGGGGGGGGGCCTAGCAACGTCTAGGGGGGGCCCGGCCCCCCCAGGTCCCCCTGTAGTTACGCCACTGGTTTAGTACTACTCTTGTGACCAATTTAACACTTTTGCCTGTTCTGGGGCCCCGCAGGACCCCCAAAATCACGACGAGGTCCCCCCGCAACAAACGGGACCTTATAGTTACGCCACTGATCGCCAAGGTGGTTAGAGAAATGACATGCCGTTTCCTAACCCAGTTACAAAGTGACGTCGTCGATACCACTCGAATTTGAGCTGTATGTTGCGGTTTGTTGAACCGGAGCCACGTGAAAAGGGCTAAGCCTTTTTGATCGGTAGATTCGGTTGACAGAGTGACAGACGTGGCCGAATTTTAGGAACCGCGTTTTATAACCTAAACCAGATTTCAGGAGTAGTTTAGTAGTTAGGTTACGGAACGGGAACCGGAAAAAATCCAGAATCTTGGTTAACTAACGGAACGTCACGTCGCCTTAGATTATGTTTGCTTATCTAGGGAGATTTGCTTTTTTTATGTCACTAAATATAGTCAGCATTCGCCCTAGCAGCAAAGCCATTTACAACAACGAATTCGAATGTTCTGGCAAATTACAAATCCGCCTCACGGAAGATAAAGAAAGGATCGCAAGGCAGAAGGAATTCAAACACAACTCTTTGACGTAGGCTGTTTGCACCACAGGCTATTGAGCTATGATTCATTACGACCGCTGCGCTGGCGCAAACAGTTGACGACACCGTTGGTGACGTCGTCAACGGTGCCATAACGTATGACCTTGACTTCAAAAATCGTGGCCAATAAGCAATCCTGTGACTATAATAGTAGTATGAGTGTGTAATATCCTCCGATTTTTAGTAGCGTGTAGCGTGATACTAACTTCAGATTCAAATATCGCAATCCTTTTCTTCAAAATCGACAATTTTTTAAGCTGTGCAAAAAACTCCGGCGCTGAAGTGAAAGCAAAAGCTTTTACGCAGCGCTACAAGTTTAGCTGAGCTTACTAGAGCAAGAGCAGTATCAGTTGCTGAGACCGGCGCCTGAATTTACCCGTGTCTGAACATCGAACTATAGGCTTTTATGTTATATTTAGGATGACGTCATCGAACAAAGATAGACAATGTTGTCAATGCCATTTTTTTTCTTATAATTTACCAGAAAGTCATGTGTCAATAACTCTGACGACAGCTAAAAATAACAAAATGAAAATGTTTATACAAGTCATGCAACGTTGCGCGCCGTTGCGAACCAAAAACATCTGAAATTCCCCTACTATAAATGAGTTAAAAAGTACTTTTAGTATTGTTAGGTTGGCAGCAGAAACTTACTAAATGTGACGTCATCCTAAATATAGCGTTAAAATCCTATATAAGTTTCAGGTTCATTTTCGTTATCTGTTTTTGAAGTGAAACTTCTGAACGCGCGCTAGGAGTGAAATTTCAAGGTCGTGACACACGAGCTAGCGATACGAAAATCCGTCACGAATGTCACGATATATTTTTCCAAGAATATTTTCACTACACACAACAAATACTACATGATTGCTCATCGGCCTCGATTATTGGAATCCAGGTCATATAGTGTTGCACCGTTGCTGACGCCATCAACGGTGTCGTCAGCTGTTTGCGCCAGCGGTCGCAGTTTAAAATATAAATATAAAAATATATTATTTAATTTTGATGAACATAATAGGCAAAGAGGACGATGCAAACTATTGTAAACGAGATCTAAAAAAGGGTTATTTTATGGCTGTTCGCACCGAACATTTTGAGGGAGGTTTAAAAACAACAATTTTTTATATCTCGTTTGCATCTTCCTATTTGCCTATTATGTTAGTCAAAATTAAATAATATTTCTCATCATAAATTTAAATTCTAAACTACGACCGCTGACGCAAACAGGAGGTCAGGGCAAGGCAAAATGTTAATCTTAATGAAGTCCAACTGTAGTGTGCAAATCTCCATAAGGCACCCCAGACCAGATGACGTCATCAAGTTACCCATTACCAGACAACCTATTAAAGACGTCTTTTTTTGTTGAACCGTGTTCCGTGTTTCAAAACGTTTCAAAACTGGTTCGATTGCTACGTCATCATATCGGATCAGTGGTGATCAAAAATGCCCCGTTTTAAAACAGAGCCCGTGACATCTCTAAAATTATTGTTTTGTGGTATTTTGAGGTCAGCTGCTCAACGTCTATTTTGAAACAGGCTGAAAGAGCGGTTCGAAACTGGTTGAACCGTTTCCGTATATGACGTCACCGTTGCAACACAAAAATGTAGCGTTTAAAAACGTTTCATAACATTTCAAAACATTCCGTCAGAAAAAGACGTCTTAACTTTAGGAGCCTAATAAAAGATGAATGATATTTCTGACACTTGACATTGCTGTAATGAGAAAAGACAGGAGAACTGCTATCGATTTTCCAAGTAAAACTATCGATAGTGTATCAAAATATCGATATATCGATAATTACTATGGAGAGTTTCCCACCTCTAAACCGGAGCCACGTGAAAAGAACTATAGCGTTTTCGATTGGAAAATTTAATGCGCATTGAGTGTATTTTCATCCTTTTTCATCAACCTCTAGAAGAAGAAGATAGATATTTAAAAAAACTGTACTTGATCTACCAATCGAAAACGGCATAAGTAAAAACTAGTGAAAAGTGATAATAATGGCGGCCCCCTATGCGTTACAAATAAATCGGATGCGCAGTCGTCTAAGCGCATTCTATTTCCCTCACATATCTCTGGATAATCCCCATCCCAAACCGGAACATGTGTTTTTGCGGATATTTTGGAGAGCAATGCAATTTTTTCTAGCAGGAGGCAACCAAGCTCTAAGCATAAAATAACTTCTTCGAATTCTTTAGGTTAGGATCGTTAGGAAGGTTAAATTTTATTGCCTTTTGGAATATAGGAAGTGCGCATGCCCGCTCCTCGAGCTTCATCTCGCGAGGTGGTGCTTGTTTGTGGAGTTAATTCTTTTCACTCTACTTGGCTCTACCCGAACGATGAAGAGCTTGCACTATTTGCTCCCAGTGGCAGAACCCGAACGATTTTGTTGTGAAAAGTGTCAAAGGAGTCAAAAGAGTTGTCAAGCCGAACTCACCTTATGAATACCGGGCTTAATCTTGGTTGTGAAACACAAACACTAAACAGACAGTTGGCAACCATGTTTAACTAGTCAAATTAAAACTGTCAAATGTCAGCTGGTAATTTGTTCAAATTTTAAAAACATTAGTTATACACTATTTATTAGTTTAAATAAAAATGTCTATTAAACAAGACCTTTTGCAGCTTTTAAAGCCATATTATCTGGTAAATATAATCCTTAGTTTATCCTTTATGGTGTTGAAAAGGATTCCTGGGGTTTGTAACTATATATTCAATACAGACAACTGCGAATTTGATGGGGTAAGATTCAATCTTCTCAATTATTATTAATTAACATTAACTTTATTAACTGGTTTCAGAAAGAAACGGAAATATTATTCTTCCTCCTTATAGTGGTAGTAATGAGGACCAGAAAAGCAGGAAGTGTTAATATGATAAGCTATTTGTCCTCTAGTTTCATTTACACAAAAATTGCTAATTTAATTTTATGGTTTAACGCTGATTATTTAATGGGAATTCTTTATGGAGTTTTGTTTATTTGTGAGTATACTTTTTCTAGAATATCCTTAATTGTCCATAACTTTGTCTTTGTAATTAACTAACAATAACAATAATTCCCTAAACAGTGCTCAAACTGTGGCTCAAAGCTCTGTCCTCAAGAATACTGCTCCATATTTATAAAACCAAAAGCATTCAAGTATTTCTGTATAATTGAAACTTGTATTTTTAGTGGGTGCTTTATTGGTACCAGAACCTACCTATGCAGGGCCTAGTAATGTGATTTACTTCCGAGGTGAACAAGGATTAACAGAACAAATTGCGTCAGATAAGGCCACTTGGTTAATCGCATTCTACACAGTTTGGAATCCAGCTTGTGTTAATTTTGCACCAGTTTTTTCCAAACTGAGCATTGATTATGGTCTAGAAAATTTAAAATTTGGAAAAATTGATATTGGAAGGTACCCCGAAGCAGGCCAAAAATATCATGTGAGCGACAGTAGTTTGAGCAAACAGTTACCAACAATTATATTGTTCCAAGAAGGTTAACAAATTTGTGATAATTTGAAATAAAAAAAAATATATAAAAATATTCAATTTCAGGAAAAGAAGCAATGAGAAGACCTATGGCTGATACCAAAGGAAAGTTAATTAAATTCCTATTCTCAGAAGAGAATATTAAATTGGCATTTGGTTTGAATAATTTGTATGAAAAAACAAAAAGTGAAGTCAAAGACAGCAATCAAATTGGTAATAAAGACAAAAAGAATAAATAGTAAGAGGTAGAATGTAGACCTTGTGTGAGACACTATTTGATTCGTCATTTGAGTAAATTGTAAAAAAAATACACCAAAGAGCGCAAAAAGTATTTCACAATATTATTCTAGCTACTGTTGTGCCATCTTTTCAGTGATTTTCATTTAAATATGTGTTGTATATGTGTGATTCCAATAATTTATTATAGTTGTAGTTGTGTTTGTCATTTGAGGCTCCAATGTTGAAATAAAACTTGCATTTTAAATTGAACAATTTATTTTCCATGTCCCAATGTGAATAACTCCATTCAACTGAAAAACTTTGATGTTCAATTGAAAGTTTGTTAATTTTATGTATCCAATTCAAATGGTTTGCAAAGCCACTGTAAACAGAACTAAAGGGTTGCCAATTTTGTTTTTTAATTTTTCTGGACGAGGTTAATAAAATATCATATGGAATGGCATTCTGGCCCCAGGGAAAACAGGCACCAGCAGGCCATTTTTTTTTATTGCAGAGAAAAATACTATGCATTCACAAACTTAAATAAATAATTCGGCAAAAAAAAAACATAGGTACCTACCGATATATAAACCAAAAAAAAAAAACGGAAAAATATTGTACCATTGTATAATAAGAGTGTCACTTTTTTAATTAAAAACAATTTAATTCCCTTTTTGAAATAATTGTTTTTGAAATGATTTTTAAAAATTATTAAAGCTGTGTGGCAGAGAACTTTGCCCACTTCCGTCGGAATGCAGAGACCAACAGATTCAGTTTGCTTTTCAAATTGCCTGAAGAAAATTAGCGAATCTTGATTCCCCATTTCCAATTTTTTGTTCGAAATAAGTGAATCCTTACACTGTATACACTTTGTTTTTTTATACAGCTTGCTGGCGCAATATCCTGCAAACATGGTTTCGGAGCAAGTCTCTAAATCTGTTTGTGTAGGGAAAAAAACATCAATTTCTTCATCACTTTCTGGATCTTGCTCATTTTCATTCGTGTCTATTGTAACATTTTCAGTGGGGTTAACATTTCCCGATTTTTCTATTTGTTTGTTTTTTTTCAATAATGGATCGTTTACGATTAAAAAGAAATCGTCATCCTCTTCACAATTAGATGACTCGGCAGAGCGCAATAAACTATTTATTGTTATTTGCCGAAATGTGACCCGGAATCGTTGGGCTGATGGATTACGGCAATATCCCCCATGTTGCCTAGCGACTGAAAATAAATTTTCAAGTACATCTTGGTTTAGCCGTGACGTCATAAGGTAGCACCGATTTTCCATTTTTTCCTGTTTGTGTAGCTGGAAAAAAAATCAGAACTATAAATTTTTGCAATTTGCAATATTGTAGTTTATTTTTATAAAATGAGCATTGAACAATAGGGGTGCGCCAAATTAATTTGGTTATGTTTTCTGTTTTATTTCATTACACCTTACGATTTGCTTGAAAAATTGAATTTTTATACGATCAACAATGCCATTGTATACACATTTTTACCGTTTCTTGACAACCAACTTAAATGATAATGACATTTATACCAATTTCAACATCACGTTCTCTTTGTTTCAGGAGGGTTTGTACTTTTAACATATTTGCCTTCCTTTTTTAATAAATAGAATTTGACTGAAACAATTCACTTTGTTTGAGTTAAATTTTATTTGTTCAAAATGGAAGGCAAATGATGTCAAAAGTACAAACCCTCGTGAAACAAACCTTAAATACGTAGGTACCTATAATAATTATTATTGTGAGAATTTCATATATTTGTCAAAACTGACATTCCAACAATAAACTGACATGTTTTCATTGTTGATTTGAACCAATAAAATTGGAATTACGCGATAATTTGCACAGTAACTGCTATTTTGAAATTTTTTGAAAATAATTTAAACTTTTGATTCATTAAATTCTCAATAGTAATTAAACAAGTGCAATGTAAATTATTGATAATTTTTGGAAAATTTGCCCGAATGCAAAACGCATGCATGAGTGCAAATTTTTCGAAAATTACTCTATATTCAATCTTTTTTTCTGTCAGATCTTCTCTTTTAAAAACATTAATCAATTATTCTCTTCTTTCTTGAGCTAACAAAAATTATAAATATATTTCCATTGCACGAGTTGTATTTAATGAGAGAATTTCATAAATCAAAAATTTAAATCGTTTGTCAAAAAATGTCAAAACACCAGTTCTCGCACCAGTTACTATGCAATTATCTGATAATTTGGTGCAAATTATAGCGTAAATTCTAATATGATTGGTTCGAATCAACAATCAAAACATGTCAGTTTATTGCTGGAATACCAGTTTTGACAGATGTATGAAGTTCTCTCACAAAATACAGCTCGTGCAATGGAAATATGTATATCTATAATTTTCGACAATTTTTAAATCATGCGTTTTTTACTGAAAAAGGCACCCGTGGAGTACGTGCGCTCGTTCTCTTTTTCAACTAAAAAAGCGTTCGGACAAACTTCCCAAAAATTATGGATAATTTCCGTTGTACTCGTTATATTTATATTGAAAATATAATTTATGGTATGAAATTTGATTATAAATGAATAGGTACAGCAATAAAAATACTTACCAATAAAATAGCATTAATTGTTTGAATGAATCCATCGAAACAAGGAGGTCGAGTGTTCTTTCCAGTCGAAACATTTTCCTTCCTTAAAGCTTGGAATATTCCTCTTGCTTTTAGAAGAGTCTCCTCAATTTGTGGGCTATCCCCTGATAAAGCTGATTTATAGGGATTTTTGTTAAATTTCATGTCGCTATTCAAACAATCAAATAAATTATTGATTAGCTCGATGAAATCAGCAGTCGCAGAAGCCGTTCCTGATTTTATATCTCCAGTTGAAATAGCTGTTTTCAATGCAGCTGCAACTCTTCCGCTAAATAATTGAGCTGCTAGTTTCACAGAGAGTTTCTGGAAAGGATTTGGATTCAAATGTGCAGTTGTTAGTTTTATAACAGACTGGGCACAGTTTTCTGAATCTATTTTTAGCAGTTCCTCCACATCTTTCAAACATATTTTGCTATTATTTAAAACATAATTGCCGTTAATTAAATTATTCCTTATATTTTTTATTAGATGAGGGACATCAAAAATGGCGAATATAGGTTTATTCCTAAACATAAAATAGGGTTTATCTTTGGTGACCCCAAGTAGTTTTATGCAAGATTGATTATTTGTGCCTTGGTCACATACTATGGCTTTTACAATCAAGCCACAATCTTCCACAGCTTCTACTGTTTTCAAAATAATTCCTTGAAGATTTTGTCCCTTTGTTTGGCTGCTTGAAATAAAATATGCCAATGGCAACTTCCAACGACTGTATAAGCCTCTAGCCATGAGTACCAAAGACTCTTTACCTATTTTATTGGACCTGCCAAATACTCCCAAATCTTCAAAACCCTCAATACAGTCTAATGCCTTATTGTAGACCAGCCATTTTTTTATTGCCATCTCATCAAACGCCAAAACACAATGTTTTTCGTGATCTTCCATATAGCTCACTCTCAATTTCAATTGATTTAGGTAACTTTTGTTAAAGCCTGGTAGAAATTTATTGCCTTGGATCCAAGATTTTATAGTGGCAACTGAGGGCAATTTAATTCGCTGTTGCAATAGATGTCGGTAAGCATGGGGAGCTCTATAATATAAACCTAAGGCAAATTGTTTTTCAGCTATACTCCATTTTCCTTTTTTTTTCTTAAACTGCATGTATGTAATGGTTTTTTGTTGTCGGGATGAGAATTGAAAAGATGACAATACACTATTAAGGAGATTATGACCTTTTCGCCCTTGGTGATATTTTTTAATTTTGCGATTTCGCGATTTCAACGACGTCACTTCTTGCTTCAATGCAGCTACCTTTTCTTTTAGTTTTTTTAAGGCGGCACTATCCTTATCAGACACCCGGTATATAGATTTTCTCTCTAATTTTTTGGGAGTGTCTAAATTTGACAGATGCTCCACTGACCATTGCTGTATTGGAGAAGCTGTTATAGAGCATTTGGAAGGGGAAACAACGTCTAACTCTTCGTGAAACAACTTTCGTCTTTTTGGAAGATCTTCTAAATCTAGACTGATTTTCCTTTTTACCGCATAGGTTCTCTTAGGCGTCAAAACCTTTAAGTCATCGTTAGGGCTTTTATGACAACCAAAACGATTTGGTAAAGCATCGGGTCTGAAAATATATATATGAATTAAATATCTTTGTATCAAGAGGTCTTGTCAATAGCTAACCTTAATAACTTGGATTGTTCTGTCAGGTAACAATCTTTTTCGAAATGATCGGAGCAAATCACTTTTGTTCCCAAAGAGTGGGGGCTTAAGCGAAGTAGATCAGGATTCCCTAAAAACCATAGTATTTATTAACACCCTGTATAACACCGCGCATGCATAAAAAGTTCCCGTGTGAATTTGCTGGAAGTTTAAGCAACATGAATATTTACGGAAATTTCCCTTGTGCAAATTACACTGGAAATTTTGCATACAAGTTTTCAAAATTAATAAGTGGAAATTTTTGGAAATATCCCGGAGACAATTTCTAGAATTGTCATTTTTGGCATTGAGGACCGCTTTTCCATTTAAAACGCATTGATGTCAGAAATCTGTCAAAGTGTATATTTTTTGACAAACACAACTTATATGGAAGAGATCTCAATAACATTCACCATCAAAGAAAAAATTTGACACAACGTAGTAAATAAACTTCAAACTTGGGAAATTTCCAGTAGTAATATAACTAAAATATTTAAGGAAATTTTTGAAAATTTTGTCTGAGGCCAATTTTTTAACAAAATCATGAGTGCATAGCGCCTGAAAAAATCCCGAACCCGAAGGGTGAGGGATTTTTTCTTTGGCGCTATGCACGAATGGTTTTGATTAAAAAAATTGTCTAAAAACGAAATTTTTAAAAATTTCCCTTAGGAAATATTCTATGCACGTGTATTTTGATAGGAAATTTCCCGAGTTTGAAGTTTATTTACTATAAGTTGTGTCGAATATTTAAATTATGGTGATGTGTTCTGTGATGGTGATTGTTATTGATCTTTCCCATTTAAATTGCGTTTGTCAAAAAATATACACTTTGACAGATTTGTGACATCAATGCGTTTTAAATGGAAAAGCTGATCTCAATGCCAGAAATGACTACCTAAAGGTGGGATTCCGACGGACGCCGCGCGGCATTGTCGCATTGGAAATTGCACCCGGAAATATCCCGCTCATCAGGCACGGAAAGAAATGCTTT